GCATTCCCTAATTTTGTTTTGCATTTTATTTACTGATGAAGGTGGAGCATCTGTATGAGGAATCTGTCACATCCATTAATTTGCATTTATTAAATTTATACAAGCATTAAAACAAATTTTTAAAGTAATTTGATGCGCAAAAGGAATATTTTGAATAAACAATATAAAATTTATACCTTACCATATCTCTTATTTAATAAAGCATAAATTATCTTTAGCCAATAGTCTACTATTTAAATTTTATTCGAAAGAACATTTGCAATACTATATGAATATGACTTTACATTATACCAAAAGAAAATTATTATTGAGATAAGTTTGTATTTTAATTTATCTAACAATAAGCTTGCTCGATAAGTAAAAATCTTAAGCATTATTGACTAACCCTATTTTAGAAAACCCAGATACTTAATGATAGCTTGAAAGACAACCATTCATAAATTGTTTAATGGAACAAAATAATTTGATGCAATTTAAAAAAAAGATATTCAAACTTTATAATTCATGTTTTTCTTCATTTATAAGTGTTGTAGTGGATATGTGTTACTTATTCAAATTTTAAACCTCTATAAGTCAACTAAGCAAATCAAATTTTAAACAAGTCTCTAAATCAATATAATTATAAATACTATTTTTGGTCTGCATAACAATGTTAGAAATGCCCAAATATTTATTGTTTCTCTCTTACTATTTGTTAGAATCTCCTAACAATCAACAACGCTCACAATCTCTTGATAGTAATTACTGATGTATAATATGCCTACCTTGATCATAAATTATGAATTAGCCATGTAGTGTTTTTAATTCAGCAATTGATTATACTGATTATAATTTTATCGTTGTTGGTGCTAGCAATTAATTTTAAGCATCATCAACTCTTGCCTTTATGTGTGCTAGAGACATTTGATGCAGATTTTTCTACATCCGATAATTACCTGGGGCTGGTACTCAATTTCTTAGTTCCATAGCTTCAAAAGCGGCTAACCTGAGTTAATTCTCTATTTAAGGCTTTTATGATTAATGCACTAGTCATTGTTCTACTTGGCTCTTCTGGAATCTTCTACTTATCTGTTTAGAACTCAGACTTACCAAAATTATAGAATGCAAATTAATTTTTATCTTCACATGCTCTACAAATTTAATCTTGAAAATTAGTACACTCACCATTCAAAATTTTGAATGTGAAAACATTATTAAGTCCTTCATGCTTTCTGTTATAAATTTAATTTTTCTAAAATATCTACTTCTATATTTTATAAGGTGATTGCTCCGCTATTATTCTTGAGGTTGTAATTTCATCCTTTCTGAGATGTACTACCACTTCATTGGCTGCTTTTCTTAGTGTTATGGGATTAGATTTAGAGAAGGCCTGGCATGTTTTTGCGCTATGTGGCAGAATAACTGCTCACCATATTAGTCATCATTACATATTTCTTTTTAATTACGAATTGAAAATTATCATTAATTATTTTGCAAATCCTTACTTTGCTTACAGCACATCTTAACCTTGCGAGTCTGGTTTTTTTATGCTAATGGTAGTAACGCATACTTTTCTTGCGAACATACACCAGTTCTTTAAAAGCTAAATGCAGTACAATTACTTTATAAAGACAAAGGCTTCATTTCGTAAATGAACATTCTCATACTTAAAAACTACTACTAGATGTTTTAATGATAGTTATTAATAATTTTTCAATTAATACACTTGAATTTTAAAATGAAATAAAAAATTTGGATGAATGAGTTTTCAAAATATTCTTAATGAATAAATTAATTAATGTTTGTGTTGTGTTGTTCTCTAAAAAAGTTAAATAATTTCCAAATATACAAGTAACACATAATCCTTCAAGAAAGATAAGCATACATGACTTGCCATTTTAATTAGCAGTTTGAGCAGAAAAGGTAGAACCATCTGTACTTTAAACATATTATTTTTATAAAACTCCAATACTACATCTTAAGTTTGAATTTCCATCTCCATCAAATTTTGTAATATCCTTTCGATAGCAGCGATATCCAGTTATGCTAGTAACTTAGTAAATATTATCAAGCAAAATCGGTAGTCTAGCAAAATCTTAAATAAGGCCATTGTTTATTGGGGAATCAATTATTGCAATTAAAGATGATGGCAAACTTGCAAATACATGCATAACCTTTTTATCGGAAATAAAATCATAGATCACATGAGATTTGATGAAAGTAGTCGAAAATTTGAAAATCTAATATAAACGCTGCTATCTAAAAATATTGTATGGAACTTGACTTGTAGAAAATAAAATGTTAGTATTATTTGATGTTTTATTGAATTTCAATATTTGGCAATAATTTGGACTTCTAGTTCAACAAGCAAGTGATGATCTACCAGAATAAAAGAAAAATTATCCTATTAAGTATCACACCTTGCAAACACAAGAAAACTGATTTAGGTTATACTCTAAACATAAGTGCTTAGGTTTCCAATAAATTTCTTACCACATGAATTCAAGCACAGATGCTGAGAGGGCCATCATAAACTCCTCCTTTGCTTTACTTTTGGAGTAAAAGTTTCATGACACTGCATTCGCGTTTGATGGATGCTGCTCTTGGATCTGATAATTAATTTAAGAGTTGCATAATTGACAAAGCATGGCCTCATCAAAGCTTACTCTGGCCATCCCTTCGCATTTTAGGTAGTCAAAGTGAGTTCCCCTTTATTCATATGGTTCTGAGATACTTTGTAAAATCTCATGTTATCTTTATCTTCCAATATTGTTCTTATCAAGACCGCTGTTGGTTGAATGGTATAATTTGACAAGAATATCATTATATCAAATGACTCATAGATGGCATCAATAACTGTCAGTTAATCCTTTACTACATTTTATAGGGGATCAAAGCTTCCCTCTTTAATTAAGGCGAAGCTCATATTCTTGATGATTCTGTTCTTTATTTCCGTGAATAGGGTTTTTCTTTATATCATATATTTGGCCTCATTTATGGTAATTGCTAGGTGTAAAAATACATAAAAAATTTCAGGTACAGTTTCAGAAAGCTCTATCCCTTATGGAAATATATCCAAGGAGAAAAGGATTGCTTCTTTCTCCAAGTGTCATCTAATTGACTGCTATGATACCTTCAATAAATGATATTTCTTTAATTTGTTCTTAAGTATCTTTCAAACTCGATATAGTCATCAAAACTTATTAGTCTACTCTGAATTTTTTCTATAACTCATGGCTTCTCACTAATTATAATTTTTATTTTTCTCCTTATCAAGTACCTAATGTATTTCCCTTACCTCAAGCTCTCCAGTGAATTCTTCATACTATTCTTTTATGTGGTGATCATCTGCTTTCATTTTCCTCTCGCCTTGCTACTACATTAAAACCAATCTTATGATGTCAACTAGATGGTATCAGGTTTCTTATCTTTCTAGTAAAACTTCTAGGTTGTCAATTTGTCTTCTTTGTAATGGCTCGTTGTGGAAAACATCTATTTCATCTATTATAAGATGCAACGTTTTTTTTATTTTCCTGCATACCTATGACTCTCTATCTGGAAACTGATCCAATCTGTGTATCATTATCTTTGCTTGGATGGTATAAGGTATGAAATTGAAATATCCTTCCCTTTAAATTCTGACCGAGTTTTCTGATAAAAAATGTGGATTTTGACATGCATCAATTTGAAAATTCTTAAAAAATCTTTTCTCTTACCCAGTCTTGTTTATCAAGATTTTCGATGTGATTAAGTCTGAGGCCCCCATTAGAGAGTATTTGGCCCAACTCCCATTTACATTGGTATTAATTTCAACTTCCTTCATTCCTGTTTTTCCGTCCAGCATGAAAGTATTCTTCTGCAGAGGAGGTCTCTCTCTCAGTTTTGCCCTATCTTGGCCTTGTCCCTCCAATGAATAAAGTTTGTAAAATATGATCATCCATATTAGCTTTATCCTGAATGTGCTTATGAGACATTCGGCTGTGAGGGAATTTTCATAGCTGATCTACTAAGATGATGTTAACTTCTGATTAATCTAGTGGCGGTTGTTTTTCCCTCCAATCCAGCATTGTATCTTTTTCTTGACATTGGATTATTTTTTTTTTATATTATCATTAAATTATTACCTGATTTTTCAAATATGAAACAAAGTCCTAATTTCATTCTAAGAATCCTAAAATATAGTAATTTCTTTTTGATGGATTATTTTCCATTTTTAGTATATATTCATTCATAATCTCATGACTTTAAAATGCTCCCCAAGTGTATTCATCTATTCCAAAGCCAATAAGATCAATGGGTACTTTTTCCTTTATTAATATGAGCTTGATATATTAAATTTCACAGTACTTAATTTACTTTAAAATAGTCTATTTAAATTTTGAAGAAATTTATCTTAAGTTCTTTTTAATTGAAATATCTAGATTTAATTAAGATAGGGTGAGAGAAATCTACTCCTTTTATATTTAATTTACTAACTTTGCACTTTCAGATAAAGTTAAGTAAAAGACCTTCCTTTCAACTTTGATCTTTCATCAAAATCAAGTATGATGTCAGTGAGAGTTCATAGGCAATCAAGTTATTTCATTCTTATCTTGTAATTCTATGCTTTCTAACAATAATTTTATGTAAATATGGAAAATTATAAGATTGTACTTATTAAAATTGATTAACTCTAAGAATAATATAGAAATTTAATTTCAATATATTTAATGAACAATCAGTTAATAGTTGCATAATGTAAAAATAAAGTAGAAGAATCTATTTATGGAGTTTAATAAGAGTTGGAGGTAAGGTATTAAAATCATCATTAGTTTTCTTTCAACAAAATTGATGCATTTCTTGATTAATTTCCTCTAGCTTCTTATATACCTCTTTCTCACAAAAGCGCTGGTGATGGTCCAAAATTAGCTTAGATTTCCTTCTCTTTAATATAAAACTTTACCAATTAATTAATTTAAGAAGTGAAACCCATCTTGAAATCAATTATTCATTAAGAACTTCAAAAGCTGGCTTAAGTTTAATAATCAGCTAAATATGCAAAAGAAAATAATAAATAACTACATCCAATTAAGTAAGACAACCAAAATTAATCAAATTCTAACCCATTCAAATATAATTTAATGCAAAATCATTCAATTAAATAAAAAGAATATTGTAGAGCAATTGCTATTAATAATGATAATTCAATTGTATTAGCTGGATGTAATAGTGACATCAAAGTATTTGAATTTAAATAAGAATAGTTGAAACTAATTCAACTTCTAAGTGAACATTCATATAATGTTAATACTTTAAATTTTATGAAGAAATCGACTCAATTTATCTCTGGGAGTTATGATAGATAGATAATAATATGGAGTATGGATCAATATAATTAATGGATCTGCGAATACAAATTGAATGAACATAATGATGAAATTAATTGTTTAATTTTGAATAATAATGAAGATCTTATCATATCGGGAAGCGATGATAAAAAAATTAAATTTTGGAAAAAGCAGAATTAATGGAGATGCTCATAAACTATTACAGATCACGCAAAAGATGTAGTAGGATTAAGTTTGAATGAGAAACAGGATAAATTGATATCTTGTGGATATGATATGTTTATATTAATAATAGAACAGTCATAATGGGGTTAAAAATGGAAAGTGATATAAAAGATAGCAGTTGAATATTTTGGGTTAAGATTATGCTTCATCAATAATAATGTATTCACATTTTAGCCAAGAGTATCAAATTATATGCATATTTATGAGATCAATAGTACTAATAAGTAGTATTCAAAGATAAATCAAATTGATGTGAAAAGCGATTCTGATTAATGTAGTTATTAATTTCCTTAATAATATATCAAATCGAAATGTATACTTGTGAATAAGAATGGAAAAAATGTTAATTTAATAAGGAAAAATAAAAAAGGTCATTTTATCATACAATAGTCTATTCAATTTGAGCATAATGGTATATATGGATCGATGAGTGAAAAATGGAGACTATTTGATAACTTGGGATGTCAGGTCTAAAGAAATTTAAATTAGAAAATATTAGGAATTTTGAATAACAATGAATTAATCATTATTCAAATTATTAGAATTATCATTATCTATATTATATAATAAATTTAATATTATCAATAAACAATCAAAACTAAAAGCTTTGATGACCTCAGTTTTAAATAATTAATGTAAATGGAAATTGTTATTATTCAAATAAATCATCCAAAACAAAATTTTGGCAAGTGAATTCAGACCCTAGTATCAATACCAAGATACCAGAACTCATTGAGTATAATTTCTCATTTTGGATGCCTAGACTTTCTAATAGTCCAGTATAGGAGCAAAAGTATTGATTTTGAATAACAATTTGGTTCACTCTAAAAATTGATGACTAATATTTTTTTTNGAAAATAATAAATAACTACATCCAATTAAGTAAGACAACCAAAATTAATCAAATTCTAACCCATTCAAATATAATTTAATGCAAAATCATTCAATTAAATAAAAAGAATATTGTAGAGCAATTGCTATTAATAATGATAATTCAATTGTATTAGCTGGATGTAATAGTGACATCAAAGTATTTGAATTTAAATAAGAATAGTTGAAACTAATTCAACTTCTAAGTGAACATTCATATAATGTTAATACTTTAAATTTTATGAAGAAATCGACTCAATTTATCTCTGGGAGTTATGATAGATAGATAATAATATGGAGTATGGATCAATATAATTAATGGATCTGCGAATACAAATTGAATGAACATAATGATGAAATTAATTGTTTAATTTTGAATAATAATGAAGATCTTATCATATCGGGAAGCGATGATAAAAAAATTAAATTTTGGAAAAAGCAGAATTAATGGAGATGCTCATAAACTATTACAGATCACGCAAAAGATGTAGTAGGATTAAGTTTGAATGAGAAACAGGATAAATTGATATCTTGTGGATATGATCTGTTTATATTAATAATAGAACAGTCATAATGGGGTTAAAAATGAAAAGTGATATAAAAGATAGCAGTTGAATATTTTGGGTTAAGATTATGCTTCATCAATAATAATGTATTCACATTTTAGCCAAGAGTATCAAATTATATGCATATTTATGAGATCAATAGTACTAATAAGTAGTATTCAAAGATAAATCAAATTGATGTGAAAAGCGATTCTGATTAATGTAGTTATTAATTTCCTTAATAATATATCAAATCGAAATGTATACTTGTGAATAAGAATGGAAAAAATGTTAATTTAATAAGGAAAAATAAAAAAGGTCATTTTATCATACAATAGTCTATTCAATTTGAGCATAATGGTATATATGGATCGATGAGTGAAAATGGAGACTATTTGATAACTTGGGATGTCAGATCTAAAGAAATTTAAATTAGAAAATATTAGGAATTTTGAATAACAATGAATTAATCATTATTCAAATTATTAGAATTATCATTATCTATATTATATAATAAATTTAATATTAGATAATGATATATCTGCATACATGCAATATTATCGAGTATAATTGCAATTCAACTGACTATCATATAATAAATTTGAATTAGACATAAATAGCATCTTGAGAGTAGTATTATAGCTTGCAACTTATCAACACATAATCAGCTTCGATTGTTTAATTTGAGATAGTTTCATAATATTTGGAATATTTCAGAATATCAATAAACAATCAAAACTAAAAGCTTTGATGACCTCAGTTTTAAATAATTAATGTAAATGGAAATTGTTATTATTCAAATAAATCATCCAAAACAAAATTTTGGCAAGTGAATTCAGACCCTAGTATCAATACCAAGATACCAGAACTCATTGAGTATAATTTCTCATTTTGGATGCCTAGACTTTCTAATAGTCCAGTATAGGAGCAAAAGTATTGATTTTGAATAACAATTTGGTTCACTCTAAAAATTGATGACTAATATTTTTTTTTAATTTTTGTAAGATCGATTTGGCGTAAAAAAGTTATAGAACCTGTCTGGTTACTGATAAATTTGTGCCTATTTTTCTAACTATGATGTATCCATTTGTGGCTAAATGTAAAGTTCTTGGAGATGCCAAACCAAATGATCGAATACTTCTTTTTTATAAGGGGAGGAATTAGAGACTTTGCAGGATCAGCCTGGTACAATTTCAAAAATTACTGTGTGTTGAAAATAGTAGATTCGTGAAAATGCATGACGAAATTTTATATAATCAGTTTGACATGAAACCTTATCATTATTTGAAAAAATGATTAATATGGAAATGGATAGCAATTTGGAATGGAGAAACAATGTCTTAAGTTTGTGGATACTACAAAAAGAAAAAAATAAGGGTTATGTATATAACCCATTTAGAATTATAGGAAGTATAGGAAATAATAATATTAAAATAGTAAAGCCTAAATTTTTTAAAGTGGAAAATATAGGGGGTGGATTATTTTGTTAAGGTATAAAAATTGGAAAGTGATTAGAGTTGGATGATGGATTTTATGACCAATTGTGGTGAGTATAAAAATGATAAAAAGGTTGCTATTTGGAATATAGAGTACGAAGGATATTTAATATAAGTAATAAAAATAAATGGAAATAGTGGTGGCGAATTTTATTATGAAGGAATTAAGAATGGTAATTAGATTGAATTGGACGATGGATTTTATATTTGTAAATAACTCATCTACAGTGGTGAGTATAACAACGGTAAAAAGGTTGGCAATTGGTGTAATAAATATAATGGACAATTATTGTAAAAGAAGAAATATTTAGTGAAATAGTAGGGGTGGATCGTATTATGAAGTAGGAAAGGTTGGAGAGTGGATAGAGTTAGATGATGGATTTTCTACTTAAAAATAAGTAACCTATAGAGGGGAATAATAAAATAGTAAAAAGGTTGGTAGATGGAATATTTAAGGAAACATGATTGGAATAAGAAATATAGAATCTTATAATGTTGTTGGATCGTATGATGAAGGAATTAAGGTTGGCAAATGCAATGAGTTGGATGATAAATTTTATTTGAAAAAATGAGTCACTCATAGTGATGAATTTACAAATGGTACAAAAGTTTGTAGATGGGATATTCTATATAGGTACGACACTGATGAGGAATAATTATAATGTAATTAATCTATTATGATATAAATTCCAACATCCAACTTTATTTACAATTGTTGTATTTACCATTTACCACTATGAGTTATTAGATTCTTACAATAAAATTTTTACATCCAACTCACACCATTCACCAAAACTTAACACTTATTCTATTATATTATCCCCCTCCACTATAACCATTTCATAATAGATTAATTACATTATAATTATTCCTCATCAGTGTCGTACCTATATAGAATATCCCATCTACAAACTTTTGTACCATTTGTAAATTCATCACTATGAGTGACTCATTTTTTCAAATAAAATTTATCATCCAACTCATTGCATTTGCCAACCTTAATTCCTTCATCATACGATCCAACAACATTATAAGATTCTATATTTCTTATTCCAATCATGTTTCCTTAAATATTCCATCTACCAACCTTTTTACTATTTTATTATTCCCCTCTATAGGTTACTTATTTTTAAGTAGAAAATCCATCATCTAACTCTATCCACTCTCCAACCTTTCCTACTTCATAATACGATCCACCCCTACTATTTCACTAAATATTTCTTCTTTTACAATAATTGTCCATTATATTTATTACACCAATTGCCAACCTTTTTACCGTTGTTATACTCACCACTGTAGATGAGTTATTTACAAATATAAAATCCATCGTCCAATTCAATCTAATTACCATTCTTAATTCCTTCATAATAAAATTCGCCACCACTATTTCCATTTATTTTTATTACTTATATTAAATATCCTTCGTACTCTATATTCCAAATAGCAACCTTTTTATCATTTTTATACTCACCACAATTGGTCATAAAATCCATCATCCAACTCTAATCACTTTCCAATTTTTATACCTTAACAAAATAATCCACCCCCTATATTTTCCACTTTAAAAAATTTAGGCTTTACTATTTTAATATTATTATTTCCTATACTTCCTATAATTCTAAATGGGTTATATACATAACCCTTAT